AAGAGCCACCAACTCTCCAACGTCCATGCATACATTAATTTTTCCCCGCCAATCAAAATAAATGTCTTCATTCTCCTTGATAGAAGATGTTAAAGCGTACCACACGAAATTTAGGTTTTCAGTCTCGTCATCTGATTAGAAGATGCCATATGATAACAAGGCGGAAGGTTCCGCGGACGACGTAAAAAAGATCCTAATACATGAACGTCGTCACCAATAACAACCAAGGGCAAGTACTTAGCACATTGTACAAAGTAAGGTGACTTTTGGAAGGCAACAGGCGATCAAGAAAGAAGGAAAAAACGAGTCGTAGTCGGAGGCGCATAAACAGAAGAACCAGTGCAAAGATGTCATGAGTCATGTCAAGCAGGTGGCCACAACCAGTCGGACTAAATTCCGGATTCAGACCCTCGACACCTATCATAGCTGCAGTGTTGCTGGCATATTTCCTGTTTCTTCTACAGTTAAACTGAGACCTTAGTGTGACAGAATAAGCTGACCAAATGGCGAGTAGTCATAAGGACGGTGGAAATATTTAGTACGTAATAAAAGGCGGTTACCGTGTTTCAGTACGAGCTAAGGAGCATCATATATTAAGAAACGTGGACATAACAGGTATCCAGCAAAATTTAAAAAATGCTGTTTTCAGTTGCTAACTACGAAACATTTGCATGTGCACAAAACATGTATGCATATGTTACAAGCCTCTGTTCAAAGGTCGGGTAGAGTATATGAAAAAAACGATGTTAACCTACCTCTTGCAGTCTGCGTATAGCATCACGTGCCTGCCTAGCGAGGTCGAAATTCTCTCCTGTATAGAATAAAATGGCGGGAACGATACTTTTAAATGCCTCGCTCGCTAAGTAGGTGCAAAGTATACAGGCAGGTAGAATGTGTAAGACGGAGTCCTTTGAATAGTTAACCTCTTCGCCTAATTCCCCGCCTCTCCCCAACCAGGTGGATTTGGGTCTTTTCATTTTACAAAACAGGAGGGAAAATAGACGTGACACACTTTACGCTAGCAAAACATCCTTCCAAAGCACAGGATAACTAAGTACTTCATCAGATTAGGAATCGGACTGGAAATTCCTTTTTCAGTGTAGCTTTCATGGCACCAATCTTCAATCAAATATCTAAGAACATTTGCTTAAGGGTGTGCTTGTGGCGTGTGTAGTAGGTATTGACGTTTAGTTCCCTGGCTAGGTTGATCTGTATCCGACCTCACTGCACCTCACTACCGCAATACTATTATGCGCGAAGGAGAGTGCAGGGGATGCTGCCTAAACCATTGAGCAGGCGATAATAATCTTAAGCAAGTACAAGTGACAAACCACTACTATAAGTCTGGCGCATCTTTAACGTAGGACAAGGCACCTAAAATTGTATCGGCCCAACGGAGTCCCTCTCAAGGCTAAGGTTTGAAATATGAGGATCCCTTGATTTCGTCTGTGTAATAACTCACGTAAATGAGAGGTGACAGCACTCTTCGACCTTTGGTTAGTGTATATGCAGAGGATGGCACTTTTGGTGCATACGATGGGCTTTTCGCCATATCAACTCCACGGGGATCTTCTGCAATCACCCCGTTTTTTCTTGCGCATAAAACACGATGGGTGAGACCTGAATGCTATAACTACCGTAACAAGGTTACTTACTACAAAACATTTACTTTAAGTCATCAGTGCGTCCTCGGGACAGACCTTGTCCTTGTAACTGATGATAGAAAGACTATTGCAGTCAGACCGAGAAGTATTCTGGTGTAATTTATCGAAACAAATAACTAGAACAATCAATAGATATCTTCTACAAAAAGGTTACTGCGACAGCATACTAAACATTTGAAAATGAATGAAAATAGCCTCTCTGTTCAAGCACAGTGTAAAAAACTAGAAAGAGCGGCCAAACAGCTTACTTCGTGCGTACTCCAACTTTTGAGACTGTAAACGTCTAAGGACGTCTGCGAACCGTGGATCTTGGTACACATCAAATGCAAGGTCGTCAATGGGGGAAACATAATCAGACCTGAAAAAAATTTTAAAAAAGGACTTTTTTATTATAATTCGTTCACAGCTGATTTTCGCGCCTCGATCATTCGCGATACCATAAAGGAACTATATGTGAGAAGCGTTAGTAAGTTAGGCTTTCGGTAGTTAAAGGCACGATAAGTTGTTAATGAATTGCATATGCATGGTCTTGAATTCGTAGCTCTTGACACTAGCAAACCAAGAAGTCTTAAGGCAGATAGAGAGTTTGGTGAATAAAAAATTGTAACTGAACGTGCGAGAAAAGCACAAGCCTGCATTGTTAGTAAGCGCGTCTTAGTCAGAAAGTCAGCTTATTTTATCCTACAGGATCCCGGGCACCGGGTGAAACTATGGTGAACAGCCTACGACTGTTAGCGATGCCTTTTTGAGGCTTCAAATCTAAAGTCCTGCTATTTTAAAATAAGAGAAAACCGAAGACCTGACAGGCAGATGACAACAAGCATTTTATACCAAACCTTGTCATCTTGCAGCAAAATAGAGCGCACGTATAGTAGGGATATGGGAGGCTGATACTGCAGACATAGGAGAATCAGTAAATGCGAAGAAAAATATCGTCAAAAGCGTACCGAAGCCTTTCAACGTTACGAGGCAGGTCTCCATCAAACGAAGGTCCAGCCACTTCACCAATGAAATTTAGGGCCACGATACCAATTTGATTTTGTAAATTCAACTTGTTTGGATAATTTTTGTACAGGAATAGCTGAAAGCAGGAACCAGTGGCATCCACGTGTACCGATTTTAACTCTCTTGCGTGAAAGTTTGTGTTTTCATTGTCTGATAGTTCGATATGACTGAGCGTACACTGAATTATATAAGTGAACCTACCCTAGTTTGAGAAATCGAGAGGTTTCCATGTTAATAGTGTCATCACCCCAAGAATCGCCAATATAAAACGCAATTCTTGATGCTAAATAGATGAGAAGAAAGAAAAAAATCAACCTATCAAATACTGATGCGAAAGAATCTGAATTTTTCGAATACGAGCGGTACATTCCAGTTCCACAACTATCTGCTGAGGATATGGGCAGTTCCTAACGCTTCGCCAACCCTTGGTTTTCGGAGAGTGATGATTGAGCTCTTTGGCAGGATATCCTTCATCTTGACTAGTTACATGCACGACTCGAAAGTGAATCTTTTGTAACATGCCTTTCTGCTAACAGCGCACATTGAAATAACGGGACGTGTTGTTGCACCCAAGTATACGTAAAACGGCAGTGTCTCATTCCTCCAATGGCCCCTGGATTCACGGACTAGATATTTTTCTCCTACGGAGGTATAATCGGGTTGTATAGACAAATAACAGGGATAATGACTAAAACCCGCGGATGGCTTAGTTACTTTAAAGGTGAAAGAGGAAACAGAATGCTGCTTCCAGTCTACCGAATCATCCAAATTTTGGTTTCCTAAGATGACATCAATTTGAGTGGGAAGTATTTGAAAATGTCGAATGTAAGGGATTTCCTGTTAAATGTCTTCATTCATTAAACGAAAGAATGGTCAAACATATTCGAAAATGGAATGAAACATTGCATAGCATCTTAATGCAATTTGAGCAAGAGAGAAATAATAATAAATTATGCCAAAATTCTGGCAGCTCCGGTCGTCATACCATCGGCGTGAGGCAGCAGATATAATTTACCGGTGCAGTTTCATCCTAATTTCATGACTGCTGGGTATTTAGAGAACGAATATGTTTAAGGATATTTCATATAGATCTCTTCACTCAGAAGCCACACTAGGAATATTTACAACTGACGAAAAGAAAAGCCATCTTGACACATTTATGGTAGACGAAGTCGGATATACAGTTTTTTATTTAGCCTCGTATTCGCCTGTTATCAGTCTAAAATTAAATCAGTCCAACATCTCTTCT